TTAATTCTCATAGAATAAAAAATTTAAATTTAATAATATTTAAAATAAGGTATATGCCTTATTTTTTATATGATAAAAAGAATATATAATGTTTACAAAAATATATTATAAATATATTTGAATAAATACTACTATAAATTGCAGTTCGATAAAATCTATAATACGCTTATTGATGTTCATATAATTTATGATAATATAAATAAAATAATGAGTTTTTATAAGATAAGAATAAACAGTATAAAATATTATTTTCTATATTACAAGTAAATATTTTATTATTCTTATTATTAACAATATACTTTATTGATCACTCACTGATATATTATTTTTAAATATCGTTATATTTTATTAATGGTAACATGATTAGTAGCACTCTAACAACACATCGTTAACTAACTTATGAATGAAATTGATATATATTTCACAAACTATAAGATACTGTTAATTAAAAAGCAATCAAATATATTAATAAATTTATAATGCTTAGTCATATTAAATTGATAAATCATAGAATAAATTCTTTTATGTTTCCTGCTTATGTTGTTATAAATGATAATAATATAATAAAAATAAGACAATAAGATATTCAATTATAAAGTTAAAAAAAATGTATTATAAAATACTATTATATATATTTGAGTAATCTTTCTTCAGATTCTTCAATTATATCCATGTATTATAAAATCAGTGTATCCTTAATGTATACACATATTTATACATATATAAAAAGTACTATTTTTATTATATATTTATTGTTTTGAAGCATTCCTATTTCTAACACAAAAAAAAAGCGAAAACAAAAAAGAAAATGTAATAAATTATATTCATATGAAAGAAGAGAGAAACATAACAGAAAAAATATATGATTCACCAATTTTGAATTCTACTAATATTGTTTTTGGTATATTTTTCTGATTATATTTTTGTACATGAAGCTCAAATAATATAAAACATATCCATTTTAAAATACATAATTATATTGTTTTAACTATAACCATTAATAAAAAACACATAAATTTTTTTTTAATATATATAAATAGGTTTTAACAGAGTTATATATATTTTAAATCATAATAGGTGTTTTTTTATAAGGTTATGTAAGAATAAATATAACACAAAATTTATTATTATAATAATTTGTTAAATATTTATATATGAAATATTTTATTTTTTAAATATACAATGAAACTTAGATTACTACTGCGCAAATGTGTTTTTAATATTATTTTTTGTATTAGTTAAATTATATGATTTATCCTACATTTATTTTCAATCCTTCTGCATCTCCTTATATACATTTCACGGCAGAGTTCTTTACTTAAATGAATACTATAATTATAATGATGTGGAAATAAATCTAACATTATTAGTTTTATTTTAATTAAAAACTATTTTGTGATAGGTATGCTATGTTAATACAATTTTTTTCAGAGTTCAAAAATAAATCTTCATTATATGCAATGGAATCTCTGTTCCTTGTGTATTTCCTTCTTGGGCTCGCCCAATTATAATTATAATCTAAAAATGATTTTATATTGGAATACGATATGCATGTTCTGTAATAAAAAAATATGTATAATGTGTTGAAATAGCTATAATGATTTTAATCATTAATTCTTTTAAATAATTTTTAAATATAAATAATGAATTTTAATAATATTTATATTGACTTAGATGAAAAAAAAAATAATAAATACAAATTCTATTGAAACTAAAAAAGCAATACAAATAACCTTATTTATGGTTACTGGAACAGAGGAAGTAGTTCGATTTTCAAGTTAAACAACAGCATTATTACCTAAATCTGTTAATGGATATGATAAAGCTATAACTTGTGCAGTAGTCTGTAAATCTCCTTGTGTTCTTAATGTAAAAATAGATCTAGATAAAGTAGGATTAAATTTACAGTAAAATTTTTTATCACAATATTCTGGAAAAATTAAATTATCAAGTATTTTTTGCATAGAACATACAAACCTTGAATAAAATGCAATGTATTCTTATTATTTGTGTAATCATCTCCATTTTTGTCTAACAATGTATTCAATAAAGAACATACATCGGCTTCATAATTCTATAAATCCGTTAACATATTACACAATAATAAGTAGAATTTGTTAAGATCATCAATACTAAGCATGTGAAAACCAGACATAGAACGATAAATACATCCTATCTCAATTGATAAATCATTGACAAATAAATTGAATAACGTATCATTACATTTAGAATATTTTCCACAAAATTGATCCAAAAAATAGCAAAAATTAAAATAACTAAATACAATGAATATATAAAATTTGAATAATAATTTAAGATGTCATGATATTAACTAAATATTTTAAGAATAACATATATATGTAATTGAATAACGGGATATTATTTAGATAGTCTGTTAATATATATGTATTGGTCTAAGTACAATATTAAAATTATACTTTAATTATGTCTAGTATATTTTGATTTAACATGATTAATAATTGAGTAAATTTTAGTGTATCCTAATTTTATAATGTAATGTATAGTGATAAATATAAATATATATAAGTACATTATTATTTTTTACAAAAAATACATATTTTTGAATAAATTGTTCAATAGAATATCATATTTAGCAGTTTCTATATTTTGCTTGAATGTTTATAAAATATTTACAAACATATGGATACATTGTTAATTTTTTTGATATTATGTTCTTTGTATGTATATTATTTTGTGTTTTTTTTTAATGTAATAAATTTTAATTATTTTTAACATTTGTAATTTACTTTATATGCACATAATTATAATTACCATCATATATTAATTGCATAATATTATATAAAATATAGTATCATTATGTTTTAATATAAAGTGATATTGCATATATATATTGTTTCGGTATGTTTTTAAACATTTATGTATTTATTTTAAAAAATTTATTTTTTTGTAAATGCTTATAACCCTTATTTATTAGGAATATATATGCAGTCCACATATGCGTATATCCTTATTTATTTTTTTTTAATATTTATCTTATACATTATATATTAATACTGAATTTTTTACTATCGCAAGTGAATTGATATAAGATTAGTTTATTTATTCAAATTACTCATGTTTTATAATATATGTGCGTTTTTCTATGTGTAATATTAATGAATAAATAACATAATATAGATTCATATCTATTATTCGTTTCTCTTATGATTTTATATATAAAAATATAATTTAGAAGTACTATGAATCAACTATCTAAAAGCAAAATATAATAACATTTAATATTCATATATCATTATATAATAAAAGAACTAATAAATATATTTTAAATTTTTATTAAAATTTTATTTGTAAGAAAAAAAATAAAGAATTCTGAATATACATATCCACATGTGCATATATCATTTACATGAGTTTTAATTGATTCAATAATATATATACCTAATAAAAAAATATGGTTATTTTTCCTCATAAATTAGACTATAATATATTTGAACATATTAATAATAATTTTTCTTCCTATAATAATTTCATTTTTAATATATTAAGAAGAAATAAAAAAAAAAAACATATAATTTTTATTATGCATATTGTAATATCATACTTTTTTAAAATAAAACTGCAATTACAATTATAAATATTTTTTATTTTTCAAATGAAAAAATTTCATCATATAGAATTTAGAATATTTTCTTTGTGTAAACGTGTAATTGTTTAATTTTTTCCTGAAATTATCGCTTAGAATTTTTGGATCGAGACTTAAGGTTTTAGGATTTAAGTTTTATGATTTAGTTCTTATGTTTAAGTGTTTATATGTATATTTATGTGCATATATTTATATTTATGTTATGGTTTATCCTTTTTGTTCTTGTTCATAGTATTGAAAATATAGTCTCTGGTTTATAAATTTTTGACATATAAAAATATATATTTTTTTATTAATTTATTATTACAATGGCACATATGTTGATATGTATTTTGAAAATTTATTATTTATTTTTACATTCATCACTATTTAAGTTAATCATAGAGAGAATAATTTTAATTACAATTTATTTATTTCTGTAGAGAACATACCCTTTACTATTTAAATTCTCTGTCATAGTACTTTATTAATTGTAATATATAAAACTTATATTTATTATAGATTAACTGTTTCCTTTATAACATGTATATTATTTTTATTAAGAAGATATTTTATATATTATTCTACAATATATATATTTATAACTTTGTAATTGCATGTATTACGAACTCATGTTTCTGTGTCCTTTTAATATAAAAAATACTATAAAGAATTTAATGTTGTGACTTTAAATTCAATTATTCATAAGATCTACATAATTTCGTGCTAAATCTTAGTGATATAAGTGAATTAGTATGTCATTTATTTTGTATACTATGTATAATGCAATTGAAATAAATATATATTTGAATATAATAACTTAATTATAAGTCATATTTTGTTAATTTATATGATATGTTATTTAATAAAATTTCTATGATATTGTATGCAATAAATTAATTTTTTGAAGAAACAATTTTTATTAAAGTTAAAGATAAATTACACTCATTTATTGGAGTTTACATATAGGATATATTTGTAATGTGTATATTTAATTTATACTACTTTTACATTAATTAATGATTCATTAATATAGCCCTTGATCACTATATATATAATAATGTTTATTTTCTTATATAAGAAATAGGAATATAAATTCTATTGTATATGTCATTTTTTTAATTATACAATGAAGCATATACCATAAACATATTTTGTTTCATAAACATTATCTCTTATAGGTAATATTGAAAAAATATAATTTTATTCTTACTAATAACCGAGTTATATGAATAAATAGATTAAGATGAAAAAATATAAAATAAAAATTCATGGATAATATATATTCCTGAATGAGAAGTAGCTATAAATTTTTTTTATTCTATATTACATTATGTAATTCATATACTGCTATAGATTTGATAAAATATAATATGATATATTAGATATAACTACAATGATCAATAAAGAAAAAAATATTATGCTGATGGTGTATATAAAAAAAATTATGTGACTTTAATTTTTCATTCACATTTAAGCAATCCTATAAGCAGAAATGTGTAAAAATAGTGTTTCATCACACAATATGTCTAAGAATAATGTATTTTAAAATGAATTAAAAAAAAAGCATACAAACCAAAATATATAATATTAAATAATATTACGTTATACGTATATATTTTTAATAATATGATACGCAATATCATTTGAAAGGATTTCCATATTTTGTATCCTTCATTTAAATAAAATTTATTATATCAATATACATATTAAATACATTATAATTATAAAACATGATAACTATATAATTCTAAAAAAAAAAAAAAAAAACACCTGTAAAATAATTGTAATAACTAATAGAATTTATATCTTAATGTATGAATGAAAAATAAATATAAGTAAATATATATTAACCCTAATCTATTAAACTAAAATCTAAACCTGTAAATATAAATTTATATAATTCTAATGTATCCTTGCAACAATAATATCATATATAATTATGTTATGTAACATTTCTTTTTTTAAATATAATAATAATATTTAATTTTTTTTATTAATATTAATAAACAAAATATATTATATATGAAATTTAATTGCTACTACATATTTTAGCATTATATTATTAATATTATAGAATACATATTATACTTTTACATGAATTCTACAATTTTAAAAAAAGTTCTTATATATTCCCTCATATTATATATAATTTGCTTATAGGTATATATCTTTATGCTCATTATATCTTTAATTATTTTTATATAATCTGAGAAATTCTATAATCTTACAGAGATGGGGGAGATTAACGTGCATTATTTATATTAATATGTTTTGTACTATATTATAATATAAATATATTACATTTTCCACAAATAATATGAAAATTTTTTATTCATTGTATTATGTTTGTCATTTATTTATTATTTTTTTTTTTTTGTAGTACAATTTAGTAAAATATTTTCCTAAATGTAATAAAATAATAGTAAAATATGAAGAACCTTTGCCTAGTGGTACACACCCCTGCACTAATGGATTTATAGGCGCAAACCATGAATTAAAACAAAAATTTAAGGGTGCTAAATGCAGTGCAGCCATTAATTTTGCTTATAACATAATGAATAATTCTGATGAAGTAAATAATGATGCATTATGTTTTTTCCTGTATTATTGGTTATATAAAGTATTTAAGGCTAGTGATATAGTTAGTACAAGTGCATTTAGTATTTATAAAGCTATACTTAGTCATGTAAGCTCAGGAAATACATTATGCAAAAAATATATACGAAATTCTATTACGGATTATGAATTGGCTTTGCTGAATATTTTGAGTGATTTATATAAAACATTTAATAATATAAATGACAGTGAAGAATGGAATACAGAGGACAGTTTTTTATTTGAATTAAAATATATTATATCTGAATATAAGAAAGGAATAGAAGAACAATATAGTAACATTGATAAATCACAAATATCAACGCCCTGCCAAAATAATAAGGCATTTACATTTATAATTCCACTTGTTCTAATATTAACAACATTCTTTATTTTATTGATTATTTACAGGGTTACTTATGACATTTTTTGTATATATGCACTAAAAAATATTTTATTCTATTTTTTTAAGATATATTATTTTTTAATAAATAGAATTTATATATATAACTGTAATACTTTATTTGTGATAACTTAGTTCACCTCATATGGTTCATATATACTCAGTGGAATAAAACGCATAAGGAATAAATGGAATAACAAAAATGAAAAATGGGCTATTAATAAATCATACGAAATATCAAGTAACATTCCAAGTGATATGAGATATATTTTATATATATAATTATGACTAATTTTACCACTAAATATATAATTCGAATAAAATATTATTTTAAAGGAACATTTGCTATGGGGATTAAAATATAGGATTGTTATAATCAATGAAAAGCGTATTTTAATTTTATAATTGTGATTTTTTATTCCATTTAAGATAATACAGTGATGCATTTTCAAAAAAGTTTCAGAATTTATGTCATTATACTCAAAGAATATGTGATGATTTTCTTTTTGTAACTACGAAACTATAATGGGATATTCTAGTTTTCAGAATAATAGAATTTAGTAAAATACATGATTTTTATATATTTTTAAGAAAACATAGACAATATATTAGTAGTCACTTTTATTTAATATAATTATAAGTTATCCATGTTTCGAATAATTTAGGATCCGTTATGTATAACCTGTATGATACTGCGGTTAAATATGAATTTTATATCCCCCCATTATAATAAGTATATTTATTACTATATATATATAAGTATGTTTATAATACATATTTAATAATATGATTTTATGAAAAAAATATATTATTATATATTCTAATGCATAGTTGTTCCTATTTATATTATCTTTATTTTAATAAATAATACTTTCAATTTACATATAATATAAATTTTGATGTTAATAATTGATATAATATCATTGAATAACATTCATAATTATGCTATTTAAACATTAAATTCTGTATTTATTAATATTTTTATTTCCTAAATATATTTTAGATAAATATATTAATAATAACGTTATTTTTTAATATATTTTATTTGTTTCTCACTAAGTGCTTATTATATATATTAATCGTCATGATACACATTGTACCATATATTTCCTTGTGTCTATTTTTTCTTGATGCATAAGAATTAAGAATTATAAGTTTATTTATTTATTATACTTCATCCTATATTTTTCTGTATATTATTATAGATGACCTAATATTAAATAATGAAGTAAAATTACACCATTAAGGAAATATGATAATATGCAAAAAAGCAATGTAAACATATAAAAAATATTTTTATAATATATTAATAAAATTTATAAATAAAATTAACAGTTTTAAATTCAAAATTTTATTTATATTTTATATGATACTCAAGGCGAATTATCATATTATAGTACAAAATGTAATTACTATTTATATAAAAGAATTTTCTTCTTTGTATAATGCTATAAATTTATTTGAAATAATACATGTTATTTTTAACAAAAGGGTATTTCAGAAATTTGTAAAATTTTTTATTTCTCAACATATATCTTTAATTTTTAAAGCTATATCATTCAATTATATTATCCAAATATATGCGCATATAAAAATCTAACATAAGGATTATTATAATTAAATAATTATTCATTAAATTCATTTTAATTTTTAATGATATCTAGTGATTTTTTCTATTTTTCAATTATTTAATTCTATATTTCCTCATATACAATAATTATATGATTTACAGTTAAATATATTACAGAATATATTCTATAATATTTTGTAAAGATTAAATTATATTATATTTCTTTTTCTAATGATATCATACATCCATTGATACTTGCATTATATATAGGAACAATTAATGTAGTATTTTAAAAAATACTTTTTAAGCATAAGTAAAAACATATTTTTTAAGAACTTAAAGATTTTTTTTAATAGTACACCAGTTTTCTAATACATACATAAACTTATTAACTTATATAACATAATCCATGCATGTAATTTTGGTAACATTATTATTTTATATTGATTCTAATTTCATATAAAAATATAAATAACCTGTTTTACGCAAGGTTTGTTTTTTTGAATATACAAAAAAAAAAAACGTTATTTAAGCCATATATAATGAATGATACATAAAGTTTATTTTAAATTAAATATGTAGGAATACGTGTTTATTATTACTCTGTTTTTCTTTCTTTTCCTTATAACATCTCTATAATTTAATATGTAAAGTAATTTACGAATTAATGTAAGCAAATAATGATTATTAAATAACTGAATTAAATGATCATATATTTTCCATTCATACGCTATTTTTATTCTTAATACATCTATTATATATTTTTCCATATAATTATATCTATATCTCTAGATATAAATTAGAAAATACAAATATACATTAAATTTGTATTTATAATATTATCATCCAATAAAAGGTTAACGACATAAAAATTATAAATCAACCTAAATGTTAATAAATATAATGCTACAAACTGAAATTAATAATTTTAACATTGCATTTGTTCATCATATATTGGATAAAAAACCGTGTTCAACAATTTACTTGATTCTATTAATATCTAATATTTACATTGTTGTAAATTCGTTTTAATTTAATATAATTCGTGTATTAAGTTATTAAAGGGTTCCATTAATTTATAACCTACATGTTTATAGCATATATCATTTTACTTTCCAATATGATTTTTTATATTCCACTTATAACCGAGTATTACAAAAATAGCTTAATTGTGAAAATTTAATTAATGTGTTTCAATATTATTCATGCAGAGTATAAATACATCTGCATTAATATAAATCATAATGTTCCTTTTCATTATCCTTATTATGCATATAGTGTTCATATATTATTTATTTTAATGAACTAATTATTCATATAAAATAACATGTTAAATAACATTTTCCTAAATACTTTATTCTTTTCGACAAAATAAATGAAATTGCAGAAAAAAAAATTATATATATATATTTAATTGTCAGATGAGGTTTAATTTACATCGTTCAAAATTAATCTTTTTTCTTGTCAAGATTGTGGCCTTAATAAATGCACAATCATAAAATATATTATTATAATATAAAGTATCTTCTTGCATTTTTTATTTATGATGAACTCTAAATTGTACATGTATGATGAAAATACAGAATTTAACATTTATAATTTTTTTTTAAAAATGTAGTATATTACATAAATAGGAAAATGGATTATTTTATAAATATAAATTAATATCGAAGAATTATAAAATCTACATAATTACGGATACATATCTCATTGAGTTCAGGAATTATTTATTAGTACATAAATGAGAATTAATTATTTTTTAAAGATATTATAATCACAAATATTAAGTCTATTTTATAGTAATATATTATTAAATACAATACTATATATGCCTTAAATGTACAAACACATTATGTATTTGAATTCAAACTACAGCATAACATCCTTGTTAATATAACATTTATTAATTATATTGACCTTTCTAACTATCCCAATTATTAAATATCACTTACACACATTCTGAAAATAATTATATCATGCTGTGCATTATATAACATTTATTGCATGTTATAAAGTAATTTTAATTCTTAATATAAGGTATCATCATATTATTTTTGTTCATAAGAATAATAAATCATAAGGTATTATGCATATAAGTTTGTGATATTTTAGGACTGTTTGGAACAAATTTTTTTACTTTTAATGCGAATGAAGCGAATTTATTTATTTTGAGCTATAAACATAATTTATATACATAAAGAATCCTTTTATATAATATGCTTAATAAGGATTTAATATAGAGATATCTCAAAATATACAATATTTATTTTTTTAAATTTACTTTGTACTATTTCAAAATTAACATAATAATTTACTTATGTATATATCACAAAACGAAGTATAACTAATATGTACGTATTAAATATAAATATTATTTTAATGGGATTCTTTACTGAAAAACGTACTTATAATAAATCAAATATAATATTTTATAAATTAACTATATTCTGTTTTTTATATATAAAAAATATTCTGAATAACTATAATAAACTATATTATATAGTGTATATAAATTTGTGTATAGGAATAAGAAAATATTAATCACAAAATTGTGAACCTTAAAATATAATCATATTATTAGAAATTATTTCTAAACCTGAGTTCATATTTTTTATTATTATACTCATATATGTTCTACGCTTATTATATATTTATATAATAAGAATAAATAATATATAATAAGCTTATTTATTGTATATATTTTTTCCCCTCATTTAACCTCTAGTAGGGAATAAATCATTTTCTGCGATATTTTTATACTTATAACATTGTTATAAATGTGTTTTTTAATATTTCCTATTTGTCTAATAATCTAAAATTATTAATGTAATCGTTATTTTATATAATTATATAAAAATATGTTAAATAAAGCCAAATTGTTTAGTCAAAAAAGGTTTAATATATATATATTTTAATAATAATGCAAATTATATAATGTTTCAAAAAATTTACAAGTCATAAAATTTAATACATATTATGGAAATGTTTTATTTATCATAATTTTTTCAACATATAGAAATATATATAATTGAAGGAATTCAATTTTTTTATTTGTAACGATTCACAACATTAGGACAAAATGAATGAGGGCGCAAATATGAATATAAATGTATGTTTCTCCCATTATTCGAACAATAATTTAAATGACTTAACTACAAAATAACATAATTTTAGAAAAAACTCAAGTATAGTTTTTCTTAATAATCCTATTATATATATTTTATACATTATTACCTTAATTCTTAGTTTAATTTTTCGGATATATATCCAAAATGTAGAGATGATTTTAAGAGAGTATATGATTATCAGTACTTTTCTTTCAAGAATTATTTTTCATCTGCTTGCAGTGATTTTTGTAACAACCTGAACATTAGAAGTATAGTGCCCTTTAATAGTGAATGCCAATATCTAGGCGTTTATTTATATAATATAGATAAAAGGAATAAGGAAAAAACGGATTCCAATTTTAATTTAAGTGATAGTTGTAAATATTTCTATTACAAGCTAAAAGAACTTGTGATGCGTTATGGCGGTAACTGTCATACAGCAAAAGAATGTTATGATAGAATGCTGATTAAAAATGAAAAAAAGAGTTACAAAGAACATTTTTCAAATATATGTAAGGATATGTATAGTAATCATTATCATAACAATAAGTTAATTCAAACATTGAAAAAATTGGAAGAACAATATAATTTATATGATCAATTAAGAAGTGCCACACATCCAAGCTATTGGGATATTTTAAAGTTAAAAGGTTATATTAAGTCGTTAGAAGAATGTGATTATAAGAATAATGATAGCTTTAAAGATATATTATCGAATGTAAAAAATAATTATGAAGTATTTGAGAATAGTTTAAAAGATACACAACATGGTAGAACAATTTATTATTCATATCTCTATCCTGAACCGAAAATTACGAAGGTAAGCAGACCTACAGAGGTGACAGTTGCAGCGAGAGTAATAGGAACACAAAAAATAACAGAAGTAAATGAAACGAAAGAGTTGTGGACGGACGCAGGTATAGGCACAAATGTTGTTATTTTTGCTTGTTCAATGTTAATAATTTTATTCATTCTATATAAGGTTAAAAATAAATTATATTTATATAATGTAATAAAAAAATATATTACATATTATAATGAAGCAGTTATATCATACCTATTACATAATAACAAAAATAAAGCAATGACACTTTATTTTCAGTACACACCTTTTGGTTCATATCTACAAATAAGAGAAAAAAGGTTAAGAAAACAAAGGAAGAGAAAAAATAATGTATATACTAGATTGAATAATTCATATAAAAGGATAAACAAAGAATTAAAAGACAAACAATATGAAATAGCTTATAGATCATTATGAAACTTCAAATAAATTAACTACAAAAATAAAATAAAATGAATTCTATATAATTTTTTTTAAATAATATAATATTATTAAAAAATACATTACATCCACAAATTAATAAATAATTATAAGAAAAAATATGTGTTAAAATTTTTTAAAAATGAGAATAAAATATATTTACATATATTATTTTAAGGAAACAGAAATATATATTTTCATATATTCACATATAATATAAATATTTACTATCAAAATAAAGAAGTATATAATCTATAAATATTTATTGACAACTAATGGTTGTTATAACTACTTTTTTATAAATAAATATAATTAAATTTAATAAATTAACAATTCTTGTAAATTATCATATTGACACGCAATGTATTCTTACTATATCTGAAGAAAACAATATTCTAATATATGTCCTTCCTAAATAATATAATTTTTTAAGATTCACCATTACGCATAAATCCCAGTATCATATATAAAAAAATAAATAAAAGATAATATTGCTTTAGAATGATTATATACTTAACCTATTCTCTTACATATTCCTAACCTAAAAATGTCGTTTATTATAAATATTTAATATTAATATGTAATGTTATATAAACCAATTTATATACGTAATATAACTATATATCAGGGTAAAATATTAATATATTAATTTAAATAATTCTGAATATAACGAAACTAAAAATATAATACTATTCAATGTAAAGATTACACAAAATATACTTGAAAAAGATAATATAATACCAATTTAATTTAGAAATGATAATTATAATCTCATTAAATTTTTATTTGTATACATTGACATAACTTATTTAAAATATTTTTTCATTATCTTGCGTAAGAATAACTTCATATATGATATATTTTATATAGTACTGGATACATATTAAATCTTTCTCTTTACATATATACCTTAATTTTTATGTGTCATTTCTAATATATTTTAAATTGGAATTCTTATATTTATAGTTAAAATTTATTCTATTATATTCATATGTTCTTACTAAAAATGCCTAAATATATAAATAATAAGGTTACGTGCAATTATTTTCTATAATATAAGCAAAATGTTTAATGAACGATAACAGAAGATAAATTAGAACAAATACATAATATAACGATGAAGTATTTATTGACAAATTCACCAAATATAAAATATATTTGGTTTCCTTTTTTATGAATAATTTGGGTAAATTTTACACTAATGAATTTAATTATCATCATGCTTTTCATTAACATAAAAAATGAACTGAGGTATTTTTAACATAATTATCAAAAAGTTATTTATATATTATTTTAAAAATATATCTACATAATAATCTAGAGAAACTATATAATTACTTCATATATGCACATATTTTTTGTAATTTCTTGATATGCTATTATTTTCCTATATTACTAGCATTCAGTTAATACATTATAAATAAACTAATTTAAATGTAGCTTTTTCATAATAGGTGGATATATGGACATACTTTGTAATAATAGCAAATTATAATTTTGATATTATCATAATTTTTTCTCATTTTTGTTCTTATTTACATCTACAGATTTATTATTTATTTATTTTTTTATTTAACATACATGTATTTTTTAGGTATATTAATTAATATAAAATTATTTGTACAATATTGAATGTATATATTTTTTAGTATAATGAATATAGGTTATAAAACATATTTAATGATATTATTTACATTAATAAATATACATTATATATATAACTCATAATTTTCAGTTGAGCACATTGGATGATATTAATTTGTTATATTCTTCAAAGTTTTATTTCATTTATGTTATGTTAAATAATAAAAACCAGATTCCAATGATATCAAATTTATTCTTTTTATCTAACAGATATTATAGTATTAAATCTAAAAAAATGCGTAATAATCATGCTGGTTCACTTAATTTTTTTGCTATTTCATGTCACTTATATAATTTTTATGTAAATAAAGCTTATGATATAAATATTCATCTCGGTAATATATAATTCTTTAAATAAAAAATGTTATTTAAGGCATATAAAAACCAGATATTTCTATTTCAATGTTGGCACTAAATCAGGCATATAGTATGGGGGTATAAGAATATTATTATTTTTTAAAATTACATTTATATTAGTAGTTTTGTAGAATTTATTTTTCGAATATTGTATAATAGTACAAGTTATGCATCTTTTATTTAATGTTATAATAAATATCTTTATCATGTAATATTTCCATATATATATAACTAATATAGTAACAGTTTTTACTATGAAAATAAAAGTATATAATTAATACTAATATATCAATTGTAATAAAGATACATACATATTGTATTAATATAAATAATGAATATTAAATTAATGATTAATATAAATTATATATAATTTTTAACGGTCAAAATATGTTAATATTTTGAAAAAATAATAAACCATAGTATACACCTTAATACAATAAATTAAATATAATTAAAATTTATGAGATATATTTTATTAAAAAATATACGATTTTTTAAACGGAAATATAAAATCATAATATATAATTTAAAAATAATATATACCATATCTATTAATTACAACAAAAGAAAAAGTAATATGAACATATTCTTAAATTATATATTTATAATGATTTATTTTAAGGTGTATATATATAGTAATAATTTTTTTTACAAAATGATTATATTATATTTCTGTAGTTAAATAAATATTGTGTATCCTATATTTTATGTGTAATACATTTGGCACATTAGTTGTATTATATATATTTATTTTTGATTGAAAATATATTAAAAGAAAAAAATGTAAAGTGCAAATTATATGTGAATATAGAAAAAAAAGAATAAATAATTTTATGGAATAAAAATAATAAATTAAATTAAATTATCAGTTTTATTATGTGTGACATATGTTGCAATTACATAAATATATATTTATATTATTTAAAATATATATTATAAGTTATTGTAAATATAATAATAAGAAAATATTGATATGTAGTACATAATAAAAATTAAATGTAAATATTGAATAAATATACAAATGAGTATAAAAATACATATACCTATACATACAATTACTATATTATAATTTTATCTATTATGAAAATATATGCTAACAGTAAGAAGATATATATATTATAAAAATATTAAATTTTATTACATAAAAAAAAATGATCAAAGGCACATAATAATATATTTTAGTAATGTATTGTATATAGAAATATTTTTTATTTTTTTAAACTTATTTAATTATATAATATCAAGTAACTAATATATTTTATGTATTAAGAATGAGACTCAAAGTAATAAAGCTAGAATATGAAACAAGAAATTAAATATTATCTCTAAACCTAATTATGTAATCAATAAAATATAAGAATTAAAGCTTGTTTATTTCTTAAAATTTGATATTTCACATTATCTTACATCGTTTTTTTGGATATATCTTTGTACGCATTTAATATATTAATTATAATATTGAAGATGGTGTTAATGGATTTTTTAAAATAATATATCTTCTATAACATCATGATTGCATTATAAAAAATATTAAGATTATATAAGCTATTATTACGTGGAATATACTATTTATTATAAACGTTAACTAGTTTTACGAAATAATATTCAGTTAAATCCTTTATATTAACACACAATTGATGATCAAATTGATATAAAAAAAAATAATTGTAACTTCCCTTTAGTACAAATATATATAAATATATTTAATTATATAATTATTGCAGCAGCACTTTACTAAAATATTCATTTTTATTATTCTCTTTTAATAATATAATTTAAATATATTTTTTAGTATTATTCTTACAAAGATTTCATTAAATTTAAAAATATATTCGATAATAAAAATTTACTGGCTGAAGGTACTCATCACGTTCAAAACACTAATAGTAATAATCAGTCCGATTCTAGTGAAGTCAATAAAATTTATGCATATGTTGAGCAATTAATAAAATACTTAGAATATAATGAAAAAATAATTCCTGTGAAAAAAAGAAATTCTGTGATTATATTAACTTCTGAATAAATAAAAATATTAGACAATATCTTGTGTCTGATAGTTCTAAATTTGAAGAATTAAAGAAACGTTTTCTAGAAATTAATGATGATTAAACTGTATATAAGATATGAATTACATGAATGAAGACTTATATATTAAAATAGGAAAATTATATAGCGCGTATGATTATTATGAAACTCTTCTTATTTCTGCTGAACATAATATAGCTTTTGAATCATTATATATTTATTTTAATCCAATTACTGCAATATATAAAGAGCTTTTAGGTATATATGAAAAATAAAAGGATGTATTTTTGCTTAAGGAATTATATGAATTTATGAACATAATTCAAAACAATGAAAAAATAATAAAAAATTCAAACTATGGTAATTTTCAAACTATATGGAAAAATAGAGAAGCTGATTTCCGTGAAATAACAGAAACTACACATAGAGAAAAGGAGATATACGGAGAAATAATAAATGTAACGAACGCAAAAAATATGAAAAATTTCATTCCTATTGTAACGACAGCATTTATTACCATAATAATATTAATAATCTCATTTTATCTATATATGGTTAATAAAAATTTCATTTTAATGGAACAAATATATACAAATATTTTTATTATATGATTAAGAAAAAAATTATTTAACAATCATCATATCTATGAACTCATTATATTCTTATTTTTATATTAGTTTACGCCATATGGAATGCATATTCTCCATCTTATTAGAAGAATAAAAAAAAATATTGAGGAATATGGATACCAAGATACATCAATTTCAAATGCATGAATGTAATAATTAAAATGATATAGAATACAAAAAATATTATATATCATATGATTATTGAAGAGAGTACTAAATTATATATGTCAAAAAAATATATTAGATACTTAAACTATGATATAATGCATAAATTAGTGTTTATACGTATAAGAATAAATAAAATGTGTAATAATACATATATAAGATTAATATTAATACTGAAAAATAAAAAAAAACTATATATAAAACGCCCCCAATATAAAATAATATTACTTATTCCAAATAATAAAGAAAAATTTTCTAATATGTTCATGTTAAAACACAGATATTATATGTTATATACTATTATGTATTATATTGGGAAAATAGGAAAAACAGGGTATTGACTATTTTATACTAATTCCGATTATATGTTAACTGAGTATTCTAAACTTAGATAATATTTTATATGTTAATCTTTTACAGGGCTTAAATGTAAAAATGGGGAAAAATTAATTTCATTAATGTGTATTAAAATTTTCAATAATTTTTATATTAAAATGTTGTATAACACGTTATAGTAATAAATAAATAATAACACTTAACAATATTTAACACTCTAAAAATATATAATAAAAATAATTAATTAATATAAAATTAATGTAAAAAAAAAAAAAAAATATATATTATATACTTAAATATATATATGTAAAAATTTTTGTATTACATATTTCTTATTATTATCAAAATTTTGTGTACGACATACTAAAATATGATAATATTTATAATTGGACTTTTTTTTTGAGTAAATGCATTTATAAAATGATTCATTCTTTTAATAAAAATATATTTGAAGATATATCTTTGTACAATTAATTTTATATTAATATTTTTAATAATTTTCTTATTACGGTATTATTAATATAGTTATATATATTTACTAGTTTTTCATGCTTATTTAAACAATAATTTAATTATATTTTTACCTCTCATTTACTTTCTATATCAGACTATATAAATATTTATTCTAAAATTTTGTTTGCTATAATCTTTTATATTTTTATTAATTCCAAATAGATTGAAGCTAATTTTAATATTAATATCTATTGACATTTGTTAGTACATCTTCATCACTAAATAACTATTTTTTCTCTAATACAAATGAGAAATAAAATTTATGTCTAAAAATGTTATTTCCTTTTGCACATATTTTTTTTCTCATATAATAATAAAAAACATTTCATTCTCCCTTCTAATATAAATGTTATAGAATAATTGTTTTTTAATAAAAATATATGTATAAACGCCGATTAACTCATATAAGTATATATATATAATATCATTAGAAAATCAATGTTACATTTTTAACCATAGTTTATTAGACAATATAAGATATGGATGTATAAATAATTCTCATAAATTTTTACATATACATAAATAATAGTCTTTCCATGTAAAATTTTTTCTTCATTAAAAATAAATGAGGTTTCTTTTTGTTCCTTGATATTTTCGAATGACGATCAGACATAAATCAAATATATATAAAAGTAATATTAAAATATAAAAAGAAAATGTATGTACTTATTTTTTATTTATATATATATTTCCTTTAACGTATACATAACCTTATGTTATATGGAAGATAGAGATTTTTACTTCAGCATAATTTATCTGAAAAATATTCTCATTTCTATTTACATTTATATGTTAAAAAGTATGAAAAAACGCATTTTTAATGTTCACACCTGGAATTATTTTTTATTTTATTTTTTTTTTGCCTATAATTAATCATATATCCAATGAATAAAAAATAAAATAATTTAAAAATATATTATGAGACTAAAAATGTTGATTGTATATTTTAATCAAGTATTAATATTTAATTAAAAAAATATTGTTTATACAAATGTTCCTTCTCAAACATTTAGATGTGAATCATTTATGTTTATTATAGAAATATATCTTAAAAAAACGTTACACAATAATACAGGTAAAAGTATAACTTGGATATATTTTTATTAATGTTATACAAAATTTTTAGAAGAGTGTTTTTATATTCCATCATAAATATGCATAGCACTTAAAAATGTACACATAATGTAGAACACAAATTTGAATTTATATGTGCCCCCATCAATATTATATGTAATTAGGTTCATGACAGTTTACACATTTATTAAAATATATAACTTAGACATAAATTATCAAATATAATTTAAGCATAATGTATTATAGATTAGGAATATTTAATTATGTAATAATCTATAATAATATTGAGAATAAATTAAACGTTATAATAATAAGAATATATTTATTATAACACATTTCCACATGTTATATATGTATATAATATTTATGATATTAATAATCAAAACAAATAAAAAAAATTAAGATTTTTCTAATTTTACAAATCAACTACTTTGCACAATCTATAATCGTAATTAGGTTTACAGTTCAAAAAATTATAATATACCTTTTACATTTTAATGTACTTGTATATTTTACACTAAAACTAATATCACAAAAAATTAACTATTCAGTTTCAACTAAATTAATCAGAGTAATAGAATTAAGGACAATAAATTCCTGTAAAAAGGATATCATAAGGAAACAGAATATAGAAAATGATTTAATATTATTTTCTTAGACTCCATATTGTAAACATTCTAGTTTACAATATTATTATGAAACCATACAAAATATAGCTCCATAACGATAAACCTCATACAGATAACTATATTTTTTTGAAATTTCTAAGCCTCAGATTTCATATATATTTTAATATATATTTATATAAGAATATATTCTTATATCCTCAGAATATTAATATTTTTATACAATAATAAATGAATAATTTCACTATATTTTGTAATTTGATGACACACCTAAAAAAATCAGCATAAATCTTTTATGTGATAATTTAATTTTATGGCATCCATTTAAAAAATGGTAAAGTATTATATTATTAATTTAATGTTTACTTAAATATTCTTAACATAATTGAATAATAACACAAAATATATATATTCCTATTATTTACAATAAATATACAAAATTCCTATTATATCATAAAAAATATTATAATCAGTTATAACGAAAATATAAATATATATGAACATTCTTGTAATTACATTTATGACAATGTGTAAGGTAAGATACCTTAAAACAAAAAAGGTTAATGTAATTGATTAATATGATTAAATAGAATAGCAATATATATATTGATATATATTATAAAATTATTATTGTCCATAATAACATAAAAAATATATTCCTATCCATAAATATTTTACTAAAGAAAAAAATTATATGTTGTGTTACATATACACATTTTAATCAGTATAAATTTATATACAAATATAAATATGTTAGAATAAAAATAAATTGAAAAGTGTATATTAAAATAAATCATAGAGCAATTGAATATATAAATACCTTTTATTAATTATTTTTAGGGTATGATAAAATACGATAATATTATTCTTCATATTATGAATAATGTATACTATGAATTGCTACATATAAACTATAAATCTACAATTATATTACCTTCAATCGATTCGTATATATAGAGCACATATATATTTAAAAAATACGAAAAAGTATTTAATTAATACTAATATATTATAAAAATGAAAGAAAAACATAAAATGCTTACATATATTGCTTTTAACACAATTATTGATATTAATCATATATATACAATATTAGTGCTTTTACCTGTACGTTTTTATTTTACTAAGAAATTTAAAAAAAAAAAAATTGTTTATGAATATGAAGTGATTAATATATTATGTAAAATCTATAATATCTATATGTATAATATTTATTAATGCAGTCATAGGAAATATATAATTTACACTATAATTGTCATTAGTTAAGTAATCGATTTGTAGTTCAATTGTTTTATTTGTTATTTGTCTTATATTATACAGAACTAATAAAATAAAAGAATTTACTTTCTTTGAATTTAAATATTTATATGTCAAATTCGTTATATTTTTAGATATGAGAAAATTTAATTTGTTATTATATCTATCATATAACATACTAATAAATATAATAAAGCTGTTTTTATCAATATTATTAACTAAAAAATATATTAAAGCATATTTCAAATATTAATATATTTTAGATATATATTATAATGATATATAACATTATACAGAAATATTTCTTCACAATAACTACAATAAATCTGATTGTATATATAAAAACATTTATTAAAGACATTTTTATTATAATCATAGTTCTTATAAATATGGTGGGTGTATTTAGAAATGTAAAAACAACATAGACATAGACCTAATAAATAAAGGAAATATTTTACATATGTACTCTAAAGATAAAACTAATTAAACTATATTTATAATACGCATCATTCATTCAGTAAAGATATAATTATCAGATATGTAATTATATATATCATATGTATCTTGTTTTTTTATTAAATTTTTTATATAGATTCTAAAGAATTGCCGTTTAAATTTTACATATATGATTTGTTTTTATTATTTTTTAAATAATAATGATATTAAAACTCGATTTTTTATACTTTTAATGGAAAAAAACATTCTCAACTGGTTTCTTTATGAATTTATTATCTTATATACATGTGAATTATATAAAAATTAAAGAAAAAAATTCATACGCCCTTTTCTTGAAAATTACTAGCAAAATTTTTTAAATATATTTTCTTTTCTAAATATTCTTATCTATTAAATAAGAGAATATAGTGTTATATTTATCTTACCTAATGTGAATTTATAAATTATAAAAAAATAATTTTATTATGTAGAAAAGGAATGCATTTGTAAGTTTATAAATACAATACCATGTAAAATATCATTAAGGAGTATAAATATATAACATTTAAGTTTTTTCATGATAATTATGTAATATAGTAATTAACAATATATAACTATTGTTTTTTATATTTCTTCATTAATCTGCATTGCATATAACTATTTGTGCAAAAAAAATTGTGCTATTATATTAGTTGTCTCAGCATATTATATTTTCTTATTTCATTATTTTTCTCAAAATATTAAAATAAATATATAAAAATAGTGTATTTACTTTTATCAAACATTTAATCCATAAAATAATAATTACCTTGATTTATTATTAAAAATGTGCTTTATTGAATTGATAGTAGATTTATATAATGTAAAATAAAAATACATAATATGTTATGTGTATTCGCATATTGTAAAATATCAATATTTATAACATGTATAGTAATATAAAAGATATATTTAATACAGCTTTTTCACTCAAATGAGGATAATATACAAATTATTCATGCAAGGAATATAAAATGTTTTTCATAATTACTTAATATAAAAATCCTTAATTATAATATATCATATGCACAAAATATCTTGTAATACATAAATAATTTATCCCTTTAGTATTTATTATGAACAATAAATATAAATTTATTATACACTATTGTTTTTCATATAAAATATTTGTCCCTTGCACGTTTACATAAAATATATTAAAATTTTAATAACATGATCCTTCAATATAAGAAATGTGAACTACAGAAATATTATTTTATATTTTGAGTTTCCCGATTTTCAGAAAATTTTTCATATCTGTACCCAATTTTATTATTAGGATGCAAATTATATTTTAAGCATATTATTATTTAAAATTAGATATATATGATAGATGATATTTTAAAAATATAGTAATAATTTATAAATATCGTAAAAAAAGAAAAAAAGTGTATATGCTAAGTTATAAAAAATATATTATCTTTAAACAATGAATATCAAAACATGATATAAATTTATTCGATTATATGATTTATATATGTTACCATGTATTTTTATTAATAGCTGGTATATTTCAAAGATATATTTGATAAAACACTAAAAAAATGAAAAGAATTATAGGTATAATATATAGTTTGTAATTTCTTTTATATTATATATATATAGAAATTTTTTTGTCTTATTATTTCATGAATAAATATTTATAATTATATATATATATTCTTTATATATATTATAATTGTAGAAATATATATGTATATACATCTTAATGATAATTTCCCTTTAATCGTTTACCCATATAAATTCTCATATAATGTTAAATCATAAATATATTATTCATGTTCTATTTAGGTATAATATATGTAGCTATATATAATTGTAATAATATTATGTATCCGTTATGTATGAGATTATTGAAGTAAATAAACAATTAATGAAAAAATAATATGTTCTTAAATATATAATAAATCTCTCTATACATAAGAGACATATAATAGTAATATTTATATTTTTTCTGAGCATCAGATAATATGATCTTTATACCTATAATCTATAATATATCTTTTATTTATCATTTAATTTATAAAAAGATATTACCTTATTGTTTTATTTATAAATATATAATTCATTACTAGTATGTAGATTACAATATAAGCAATATTCATTTTATAATATATAGATAAATATGAATATAAAATTTATAATATATATTTATTTATTTTGTAAAAATAAAATATTTTTTATGAACATACATTTATTTCCAATATATGCATACAAGAAGAAGACATATAAATAAGTGTTATCGGATGAAATATCGACAATATAATTACATATACTATATTGCTTATTATATTGAATGATTAATTTATTCTATGAATAATAAGCATATAACTATAAGACAAAATATATTTTTTATAATTTTACATTATTATATGATTTCAGAGTGATTTATGTGTTCTAAATATTATTTTGTGATTTGAATAATTACTTCCCACATCCATAAAGCATAATAAAAACACATTTTTGTATATTGGAAGAATCAAGTAAAAATATAAATTTAAAAAAACTGTTTAAAATTTATGTGCTATATATTCATATATATTATATGTAGATGTAGTATAATACAATTACCTACAACCATTTGTAATTACAAAAATATATACTTTATTTTGTATAGTTTCCATAAAATATCACAATGTCTACCCCAGCAAATAAAAAAACAGAAGTATGTTCCTACTATTAATATAAATTAAAATATACAGTAACTAATTTTAAAATATTGTTATGTACATAAACATAGAAAAAAATACTTCTTTATCTACATTATTTTAATCTTTTATATTTATTATAACTTTTTTACAGTTCAATTTTAAAAATATATTTCCTATCTGTTCGGAAGATTATAATAAACATTCAAGGAATCAATCAAAGGAAAATAGTACAGAACTTATGAATTCGTGTAGCGCTATTACAGCAACTTTGGGTTTTTCCCAAAACCATGAAAGCTTTGTGCCAAATTGTAAAGACCTTATAATATATTTGGACTATATACAGAGTAAACCACCCCTTTCTGATATAAATGCACGTTGTAAATATTTCAACTATAAACTAAAACAAATATTAAATTCTCAAAAATACAATAAGCTAGGCACTAAAAGTGCTTACACAAATATGATTACAATTACGAATTCAATTAATCATAAAAAGGTTCCTGATATATGTAAAAATTATGTTGATGATCTTGATGACAGCACATTTGAAATATTGGAAGCACTGGATAACCTTTATGATTATTTAAAAGGGCAAGGTAACAAATGCAATTTTCATAGTGAATGTTATGTGAAGTACATGGAACTATCAAGCAAGTATGTTGGCGTACATAACCGCAGTCTTCGTGAACTGCTAAGTAATTTTAAAGACGAATATATAGAAAATAGAGAAGATGTAGATACGAGAAATATACCACAAGTTACATCAAATCAAGAACTTCCTGCAGTTTCACATCATACATCTGGAATTAATGCACGCGCTATTATTTTAGTTTTACTTATTTTGTCATTTACTACATTAATAATTATATTCTTTCTTTATAAGGTTAAAAATAAAATTAATCTATGTATAATTGTATTACAGTTTACAATACAAATGATTATGGAAAAATTATATAAAATATATAATATACATATAAATATATATGTCAAATTTTTCCTATAATAACAGTATACTTCATATGTATCTTCTTTACATTCGATAGCAAGTATAATAAGGAAAATTCGAAAAAGAAAAAATAAAAAGGATATAAAATTATTAAATTCATTTGAAAATGATAATGAAGAATTAATTAATAAAAGTTCTCAAATATCATACAACCCATTACAATACTTCTAAAAAATGTAAAAGGTGGGATCAGGCTTTTATGCTATATGCTACGTAATATATTCTTTAACACCATAGGATTAATAGTTTATATGTATTACATTTTATTTAGATTTTACATTATATTTCAAAGTTATATCATTTAAATAATTATATCCGAAAGTTCTTAATATACAATTTGTGAATATATTTGCATCATATTTCATAAAAATGAATAATACTTATTAATGATATAGTATAGTCCTTGTTCACGCACTAATATATATTATTATAAAATATTAATAATATTTAACATGTTTATTATTTATAATATATATTCATATTTCCATAAATATATATTATAATTTTATTTATTTTATAGAAAATATATGTGCTTGGAATTTTATTTGTAATATTATTTCTATATAAATTTAATAATGATATATAAAATAATATGATACATGATATAATTACATGTATTATTATTATGATTAAAATATTTTTATTTCATACTATAATATAAATATTTACTATTATAATTACCCCTTATTTAATAATTCATTAATTCTAAACTTGCATGTATTAAGAATACTTTATATACTAAACTTTCATTGAATTTACTATATTTTATATATATTAATATTTTTTATATTTACGCATTCATTAATTGCAATTATCTTTCTACAGTGTTATATATTATATATATTTTTAATTATATGAAATAATATTTAAAATAGTTTTTTAAAATAAATATTATGAAGCATAATGTTATGCATATTTTTATTTCAATTAACACTTGTAATAAACAGAGTATAATTTAAAAATTGTTTTATATCTATTTTTACAAAATTGTTCATAGAATGTTATCAGAATGAAATATGTAATTGTCTAACAATTATATCATCATTTATATGTACGAATACTTTGGAGTAGTATTTATTTAAACGTTACTGAATAAATATATTTTTTATGAATGCTTATCTCATTCACCAATTAAAAACCTAATATATAACGGTTATATGTAGATTCAAATTTTTTTGTTTATTAAAAAAAAAAAAATATAACTATAAATAAAAATAATTAATTTATTTATAAGATTTTTCTTTTTCCTATTTGATTATAAGGATGTAATACACCAAATTATGATCAGAAGAAACTTTGACATTTGATCTTCTATCATCATATGTATCTATTACATATTCAGAGCTTCATTTAACAAGAATAGCATATGCGAAATTATAAGATGAAGCGTATGAATTTATTATATGAGCATGTGAATTATATTTATCTGCAGGGTTATGTATAGTACAATTATATTTTACTGCATTAGTGGCTCTTTTATGAGTAACAATTTTAATTACATCTCTAGATCACAATATAAAATTTTAAAATATTTTTCAGAATAATCTTAAAAACCAAGTAGATTATTTTGAGAAAAATATTAATTTATTTAATGTAATCGTAATTTTATACTTAAATCACACTCGTGTATAATGTTTGATTTTTAATATGAAAAAAATCTATTGAGGTATAATATCATATTTAATACATAGCTATGTTCATATAAAAATCCTGCTGGTATCATTATTAATACATTATTATTAGACTCATAGACAGTTGATGCTTATTATATTGAAGCTGAGTTTCATGAGTATTAAAAAAATTTATAAGCTTTATTCGAAAATTACATTACATTCATTACCATTTTGAATTGTGTCTTTACCTTTTATACCTTTGCATTTTAAATAGCTTTGAGGATGATTCATAATATATTTTAACTTATACCCTTAATCATGTAATCCCCTCATGCATCCTATACATTCATTATTGGAAACATTTATTTCCTATATTATTTTAGTAATATATTTATCTTGAAATATGTTATTGCTAAGGCATTTAGGTATATTATAACATATACTAGTTAATATAGTTATTACTTAATCTTCACGAAAAATATGGTATATACAATATTTCATATCATTCTTGTCTTTTTTTATTTTTTTTTATATAGTCATATATTTCAGGATATTATTCATGAAGTTCATTAAAAGTATTTTCATAATTTTTATCTATATTTTGTTCTTATACATAATATTATTTTAAACATTTAAAAACTACTCCATTTATATGATATTAGTTACTATGAAAGATAATAACTGTTATACTGCTAATTCAAAATACACTATTTCTTTTTATTAATGACGTTTATATTATTCTATTAAAAATATAATTTTGTAAAATATATTTATCATGTGGAATAAGGATATAATAACGTGAATTTAATATTATACTAACATGGTAATATATTATCACATTAGGGGAAACATGAATTATAATTCCTAACAGTATTATAAATTAATGTTCATTATTATTGAATTATAATATTTAATAAACGATTATATTTATTTTTGTGGCCAAATGTATTTTCACCTATCCTTATTTACATATGTAGAGGTAAAAATAATTAATATCGCAGAGATTAATATAAGAGATTTTTACAATGTTTATTCATTAAAATTATAAAACTTCCAATATATGATAATATCAGTTATATAAATAAATTATTGTTAAAATATAAATTAGAGATAAAGGTTATTATAAAGGTATACAAAAATATGTAATAATGGATTTATAAAGGTTTCATTTAAATATCACTAGCAAATGATATGAGACTAGTTCTATATAAATTTAATTAGATATATATACATTTTTTATTATAATAATAATACACCAAATATATATATTGTCTACTCTAAATGCTTTATTTCTTAGTTTAAGTGTAATTTTTTTTTTTTATAAAGAACCTTATTGGTAATTACTCTTGTAGTTGTTTTTTTATGTCAAAAAATATATTGCGTTCCTAAACATCATTATAATGGCGCACTAAATAAATTTGAATTTTATAATGAATCATGTTAAAACTATGTAAATATTATATTAAAATTATATGTATATTTATATATTATTAAAAATTTTATTTGTAAGTCAAAATCCTAATTAATGCTTAAGACAAAATAAAATGGATATATCTTAAAAATGAATTATATATTTTTTAATCTTGTAAACGAATTCATATCATTTTAGTTATATAAGTTAGTTTTAGAATATATGTAGAAAATATTAACACGATATACTCTGCAAATATATTTGTAATATTGTTTTTTATAAAAAAAATATCTATTTTTTTTATTATTTTTTTTATGAGTCTGTATTCTATCTATTTCAATTTAGCGTTACTTCATTGTAATTTGGTATACGAGGAGTAAAATGGTAAGGAAACCTGTTTGAAAAAATATAAAGCCTTGTACAAGTCAATATATTTTATAGTTAACGAATATTTAATATAGAGCTGATATATATTTAGATTTATAAAAATAATATCTTATATTAATCAAATGATTTTCTTTACCTTTTTATTTGTTGTATTGTCAATAGTATTTCTTCTTTTCCTCTTGATTCCTTTTTCATGTATAATTTTTTCATTCCATATAAATAATATATCAAATGACATTTATCATTTATAATAGTTATATTAATATAAGATAAATAGTCTCTTGTGAATAATTTAGAATTAATTACTCTCCAATTAATATATCATTTTATTAATATTTTACTACTATATGTTTATCACATTTTGAATACATATTTATAGAAGCAGATAAATTATCTTATATTTTTTTATTGATATTTGTTAAATTTAATACATAATTTTTACAGCCTTAATGCTGAAAATTATTTCATTAATTATTTAAATGTCTATTCACTCATTTCATATGTTATATACAAGTATTTTAAATAAGAAATTGTAACTATGAATATATTCATTAAACATCTTATATATCTTTCCATTAAGATTATTTATACTCTCCCTAATACTGTTAGTGAGTTAATAATATTTTAAACAGAAAATAACTTATCATATATGAATCAATGCAAAAATTATTTTCTTAATTTTATTAATGCTTTTCAAATATACTAATCGTTATTACAGAATTTCTGGACAACCTGAACTAATAACATTTCCTATAAAATTGAGGAAATGAAGTTATCATAAAATGTCTTTTCGACATTTAATTGTGTGATTTCCTGTATTTTGCAAATTATGTAAAAATGTTCTTTACGGAAGTTGTAATACATTCATATATGTATTTCTATTGCTATATTAGTTAATTGCAGAATAAGTATAATGATGTAGGATGACAAAGAAGCATCAATCCCATTCAGAATAGGATTAATATAAAAAACAAATTAATACATATATATTTTTTAGAATAATTTTTTAATACTAATCTGTACAATATAAATATAATTTTCTTTAGAATATAGTAAAAACTATTGAAACGAAGTATAACATGAAATTATTTTTACGCACATATATAAAGTAAAGAAAATAAATTTTATTATTAAAAAAAAAATTATGAAAAAGAAATCAAGATAGACTTTTATTTACGTCAAATGTGGGTTAAATATGGAATTATAGGTATATACAAAAGTTATTAAGTTATATAATCGCCATAATTCCAATATATTTTAGCGTTCTCATAAATTTAGCAATAGGAAAACTTTAATCATTATATATCCTTGAATATTTATTAGAAGATTAGTTAATTTTAAGTGTTATAAAAGTATTAAATTAATCGTATTGAATATGTTCAGCTAAAAATTACGATGAATATGTATTATGCATTTTATATAATGAAATATAATAATATAATTATGACACTTTAATAATATTAGAATTATCCTTTTAAAAATATATTTGTATTATAATGATCTATACATAGCATTTTGTATATACTTTAATTATAATTTTTATTGAAATTTTTTTTTAATAATATACAGAATTATTTATATTAATATAGAAAACTTTTAACACTATAAGAATTTATATTACTCAAATAAATTGATTTATATAACACTGTAGCATAATTATAAGGATTTATAAATCACATCTTTTTACGGTTACGTATATGTAGGAGTATATTCCCAATATATAATCATTCAAATACATCTTTTATTTCTATTTACTTTTTTGTATTAGATAGTGCGTGATATTATACATAAAGTTGAACGATAATTAATTGTGTTATTTGTAGGATATTTATTTCAAAATCTTGCTTTCGTCAGATATAATAAGCATATGTTCAGTGACAATATGGTAAATTACGTAATTTATTAATATACTAAGTATAATTATAAATACTTTTATACATGCTTTATGGTAACTATTAGATATAAAAAAATTATAGATATTAAATTTTCTATTTTCATTAATAAATATATACATTATATGGAAATATAAAAAAATTTATATTTCAATTTATATAAAATAAGATTAATTAATATATTTCTTTTCTTTTTTTTTAATGTTTTATCATAAATATATTCTTATGTTTCAACTTATATAGGTAAAATACCTTTTAATGATATCATATTATTTAAAATGAATTTATTTAAATTTCTTTTTCCTTTTTTTTTGCTAATAATTTTTTAGAAGTTTCATATTGATCTATATACTATTTCATATTGTTTATCATTTAATTTATATCACTTACTTTCATATAAACCAATTAAGTCCTTATG